ATCATCATCACCAACCATCATCATCACGATAATCATCAGTCATCACCATCATCACCGGTATCATCACCACCAACACCACCATCTTCATTACCCCGGCCCATCATTACCACCACCATCATCATTATCTCCAKGCATTATCGTACATTGATACGACCCCGACCACCGCATCATCATACACCTGACCGTATTTMTGTGTATAAATTGATTAACTGTTGACGCACGGCATTCGTACAGTATAACCAACCCTATTCCTCTCCCCTTCACGCAGGAGAACAAGTTTGGTATTGGTCCTTACACTGGAACAGTGAGTGTCATCGAAAGCGTGGATTACGAGACGAAAAATAATTATACTCTAACCATTACTGCTGCGGTAAGTCACATCATATCTGTGAATACATGATCAACATTGAGATTCTGGCAAAGTGTACGTAGGTGCGCATTGTATCTAACATGTTGTAAGCGATAACACTTTCATTGCTGAATTCAAGGTAGGACTCAGGCCCTGGTTAATTTGCAAGCACTGTGACTGTACTGTTAGATGAATACTTAATTGAGAGAGCACCAAATATGAAAAGTTAGGCCTAGGGCAAACGTCGAACTTTCCATGCACCGAACTTAATTACATCAAAGAATGCCGCCTCATTATCACCTGATATCCATTGTTTTTAATGAGTTCGGTGCGTGGAATGTTCGACGTTTGCTCTAGGCCATAGCCCTAGCAGTAAATCACGCACTCGGTGGTCTTATAATTCATTGTAATTTTGTGAAAACGTTACTTACATAATTTTTATTATTTTTATTTCCCAGGATGGAGGAGGGCTTACTGCTGTGACGAGTCTCGATGTTGAGATTCAAGATGTCGATGACCTTGCTGCTGTATTCTCTCCATCATCTTACTCAGCCACCACGTCTGAGAGCGCATCTAAAGTAAGCACATATCATACAAAAAATACGAGTCGCGCGCAAAGGGTTATGGTTAATGACGTCATCGGCATGACGTCATTATCCAAAGGCTCCTGGTCCTAAGTAATAAAAAAGGTGATTACTGCTAGCTTTTGTTTCTTGTTTACTCATGAGAAACGTTTCATTATGATGTCATCTTTATCACTGACAGGGTGTCTACGTTACCACGGTAACGGCACGTGATGGGGATCTGTCTCTTGGCGCGCCCGTGTCGTATCTTGTCGATCAAGGTAACCATAGTGATATTTGTACGATATCCTTTTGATTAAGATGAAGAAGTCAAATGAGCAAATGGTGGCCAAATTTTGTTACAAAGACATTCTAAGCTTATTAAATTCGGCTTACAACTGACTCCTTTAGCTTGGATGTAATGCTTTCTAATTTCAGCCCATGTGTCATTCTCTTGAGAATTCTTGGGGTGCATGTTACGTGATAGCCGCCATGTTGGTTGACGATAACAAAGCATTCCTCATTACGCTTCTCTTGTTAGATCAACCAACATGGCAGCTGTTCCATTGCTATCATATCTCAAGGGATTTTGAGTCATGTGGTTGCACTACAAGAATAAGATTCGTAAGAGTCGTATCCATATTCATGTGTATTCTGACGTGATCTAATATGAAGAAACATTACGCCCAGCTAAAGAGGACTATTGCCTTTGTTTAATCGTAGACACGAACCCTGATTACGCCTTTGCGATCATCGAGAGTACCGGAGTGATTACCGTGAATAACACACTGGACCGTGAAAAAGTACCCTTGTACAGTCTACGAGTAGGGGTAAGTGAAGAGTGTCAAGACGGTATACAAAATACACATGTATACACCTATTTCAAGCGTTCTCATCGACAAAGGCGCAGGCAATAGGCGAAAAGCGATAGGAGATATGTCATAAAGATCCAAGAATAGCTGGAATGACTTTTGTACATGTTTCTGCTTCTTATTCTCGTCAAGAACATGGACYTTAGTGTTGAGACTGATTCAATGTTCTTGGTATTCAACGAAACCATTTCCATGTCGGAATGACCTATCGCCTATCGCCTTTGGCTATGACATCGTCATGACATCTATTGAAATAGGTGTATATATAGCTCTTATTAACCGATTTCGAGATATGTTCCGTAAGTGAGAGACCACACATTGGCTATAACAGCGCATGAAATTACCTTGACATAAAATAAATAATATTATACGCCGCATCTGGTGCGCTATATAGAGGTAGTATGTTAAACAATGTTTCTCGACAGCAACATGATTTACCTTAAGTTTTTGGCGCCATTTTATAAAAAATGTCATTTCAATATTATGTTTCATTTTTAAGTGCGCACTAGTTTGTAAAGCACATCTGACAACCTTCCCGTCACAGAACAAAATGCGCAAGTGCAGAGGTTTCTTTGAATGGCAACATCACAGCCATTCTGATGATCGCACCTTGGATGCCTAAGAAAAAAACTAACAATTGAATGTTCTCATTATTTGAAGGCCAAATCCACCATTCACAAAGCCGTCTTTGCGACAGTAATCATCACCATATCCGATGTCAACGATAATGTCCCAAGGTTCACTGTTGCACCCTACCGGGGATCCGTCCCCGAGAACTCCCCCACCGGGCTGACTGTCCTACGAGTTTCAGCACAAGACGCTGACTYGGTGAGTATAATAACCTGGAAATTTACGATGTTGTAAATCGTGGATTTTTTGATGACGTCATGATTTCGTTACCCAGGGCAACAATGCTGTATTTGAGTACTCCCTCGTTGGGGCTGCGTCGACATTCATCGTAACGAGTGCCGGCGATATTGTGGTCAGCGGTGCTATTGATCGAGAGACTCAAGACACCTACAGCTTCGAGGTGAGTCTGTTTTTTCTAACTCCTCCAAAATTACTTTTAAGCCAGAGATTTATAGAAACGTTATGGAATAGGTCATTCGCCATACAGCAGAGCCTTTCCCAAGGGACGTTTGGCTGAATCGTTATCAAATATATCAGCATGTGACTATTTGTTGCAAATGGCCTATAGGAATGTGAAGGGTTGCGCACGACACGGTCACGGTACTAAGGTGACTACCTGTGTTTAAAAACCAATAGCCGCGCGCAAGGTACTGGAATGGGGGATATAACAACATTGCAGTCGCGGCACGGCACAGCACAGTACGGAAAGGAACGTTCTAACCTTAGGTTTACGACTGAATCTGTTCTCATCACCATCGTCTCTTCCTTCAGGTAAAAGCAAGAGAGAGATTGACATCAGAGCGCTACCAAACCACAGCACAAGTCACCATCAACGTGACAGATGTCAACGATAACAATCCACAATGCGCTCAAGCTGTGTACAAGAAAACCCTTAACGAGAATCAACCGAACCAAACTGAAGTGGTCAAGGTACGATTTGTTTGATATTTAAGACAGAGATAGAGCTGTTTTGCATGGGAAACACACGGAACTGTCTTACAGTACGTAAACCGTAAAGATACAACATGCTATAACATTGAATTGCATGTATTTTCATCGCTTTGGATTAATTCATCCAATCAATACTCAGGCGGATATATGCAAAATCGTTCGTTTTTGTGAAGAAAGCACCAAATTTAGATGAAGCTTTTAATGCACTAATGAGATTGAAATATCGAGCCAGTACTCGTAAGGTGCTCGTATCTAGGTGATATTCATTTGTTAAATCCACAGGTCACTGTCACAGACGCTGATATTGGTCTAAATGCAGACATACGTTTTAGTTTGGTACCAGACTCCAGCAACCATTACAAACAGTTCTTAATCGACCCAATTAGTGGTGTGCTCAAGACGATGACTACCTTTGACCGCGAAGAGCTTGGTACCTACAATCTAATAGTTAGAGTTACAGATCAACCTGTCAGTGGACAAGGAAGGTACGTACTGGTGGTCAGGGGTATACGACTAAAGTATCAGTGCACAAGGACGGCAATTAATTATTGGACATGAACAGTGGTGTACGAACAAATTTTAAAGTTATGTACTAGCGATGCATGATAAGCCGAGCTAAAGGAGACTGAATCCTAAGACCCGGACATTTTGTACGTGTTGTCCGGTGAAATTCAACGGTTGAGAGAATATCGCCATTACTAAACTTAGAGAATAACTAAACAATTCTATATATCCGTTTTCCCACTCAGGATTGGTGAATGTGCTGTTGTTGTTATCATTGGAGACGAGAATGATAATAGTCCTGTACTGGATAATCTACCCAATACGACAGATGCTGTATCGGAGGGTGCGGTACCCAACACACCGGTCTTTACTGTCTTGGTGAGTTATGACACGTCTATAGAGGTTTTGCACCATAACGTGACGGCAGCCATGTTAGATGGCAGGAACAATACAATCGTTTTACATGAGAAAGAATTCAATTCCCGAGAGCAAAGGGATTTTATTGTTCTGCCATCTAACCACAGG